CGCGAAGGCTTTAAATAAAATCAAATTCAAAATTAGTTTTAATGATTGTTTAAAAATAAAGGCATTAAGTGTAAATAAAATATTATATTTAAACTTTTTTTAATTAGATATATATTTTTTATGATAAATTTAAACATTTGAAACTATTTTTCCAAGTCTTTCTAAAAATCTTTTAAAAGGTTATTTTTTTAAGTTATTTTTCTTTAAATAAGTTGAGTTAAATCATCCCAAATTTTTATTGCTATTTTTTTTTTGGTTTCTATTTTTACAAAAAATTGTTTAAAAGTTTTTTTTTTCAATTTTGACTTACTAATTAAATTAGAAAATGATAAAAATTACAATAATTAAAAAGACAACGTTATTTTTTTCAACAATTTTTTTTCCAACTTTTTGAAAAAAATGTCTATACAAATTAAAAAATTAAACTTTTTTTTCTTTTTAATAATAAATAACTTTGTTCATTTATTAAACAATCAACGGAAGTAATTAGTAAAAAATGTTTTGCGTAACTTTTATTAAAATATCATTTTTAAAGTAATTTTTTTCAAATGTAATTAAAAAATAAAAAGTAATTTAACTTCTTCAAGTTTTTTTAGTTTTATTTTAAAGCTAATTTATTTTTCGTAAGGAATTGTTTTGTTTATTCTTTTTTTTTTTAAATTTTTTTCCTAGTTTAAAGTTTAGGTTTTCTTAAACGTTTAAATCATCAAAAAAGTTGTGTCAAAATAGTCATCAAAATAGTCGTGGTCGTAAACAAAAAAAATCATTTGCGTGGTCAGCAAAAGCGTTCGATTGCATGCCGTTCCAGTCCAAACTTTATTTTGTAGAATTTAATTTCCGTCGGTCAAAATATCCGATTACTTTGTAAATTGAGCCCTGTATAATAATAGTAACAATAAAATGTATAAATTATACTGTTTACTTTAGTGTATATAAATTACATACCAATTATCTTGATATAAACTTTTTCTACAACTGTCCCAAATCTATTTGATGCTCTGCATATATAAGCTCCTTCATCATCAAGCGCCAGTTCCACTAATTCTATTGTTCCATTTTTATAATCATTCTAAAGTTTTAAAACATTCAATCTGACTGATTTTAAATAATAATGAATTACTAACAGTAAGCAACCCGTAATATGCGTTGTTAGTAAATAAAATTAAAAAAAAAAACGCGTTGAGAAAAGCCTAGAAACTACTTTAAAATAGAAAAGCCTAGAAAATGAGGTGATTCGACTTTACAAAATAATCACTTTGTATTGTTTATATTACTCGTTTTATATTAGTATAATTGTAAATCACTACTAACAATATAAGTAAAAAAATACATGTTATTACACTAACGCCACATCACTTAATATAATAACAAAATGACACAATTAAATGCTTTGGCAAACTCACTAAAGCCAAACCTAATTGCTATTACCAAAACGTGGTTTGACTAATATAAATGCACTCTATAAATGCACAACTAATAAATTAAAAACTGTTCAATAAACTAGACCCAGTCATGGCAGGGGAGTGGCTATATATGTGTCAAAAGAAATTGTTTCTTTTGAGATTACCAACATAAAATTATGTAGTACAAAGTTAGAGCAAGTTTGGTGCAGAATCAAATTTAATAAAGAAACAATTTTATATGGTTGCATTTATAGGCCTCCACCCAAACCAAGTGATACGCAATATGACATACAATGAGGTGAAATTGCTTTAAAATGCTCTGTTGTTGCAGCCTCAAACTTAGTTAAAAAGAAGGTTTTTTGGGTATGTGTATTGTTGGGGGCTTTAATTACAACAAAACTGTATGGGACTTGCATAACATTCTTTCATAATCCAGTGAACCAGCTGCACCAGATCATGAGTTATTCACCAATCAGTCACCTTTCCAACATTTGTTAATTCAAGTGGTTATTGTTGCAATTACCTTGGTTTAAATCTATCAGAGTCCATGAATAGAGTTTTTGATGTAGAGTCAAATCCACTGCTAAGTGATAACACTGAACAATTTCATGTATCAATTTGCTGGAACCTATTTATAACCAATGTTCATAAAACAGACATTCAAAAGATCAAATTATAGTTTTAGGAAAGGTAATTTGCTAAATCTTTAAGCTAAGCAAAATTGACTGGGATCAGCTATTTATCAACAAATAAACTAACGATCGCTATAACATATTCTAAAAAAAGGACAACCAGCTGATAAACATTTGTATACCTGTAAAATGCTCTAGAAATCTCAAAATGCAACCACCTTGGATGAGCAGATCACTAAAACATTTAATTAAAAGAAAACAATGATTATAGATACTAGTACAGCAAACTTGTTCAAAAATTATATCCATTGTCAACAATTATAAAGCAGTGCAAAAAGAAGTAAAAAGAGTATTAAAAAAATCTTAATTAGATTATGAAAAATATATTGCAGATGATAAGTCAAATAAAAAGCGAATATATGATTATGTGAAACTGAAGCAAACAGCATCCAAGTTGATAAGCAATATGATTAATACTGATGGCTCAGTATCAAACTCTGGAGCAGACATTAACAACATTCTTAATTATGATTAATTTAAATCTGTACTTGTAGAGGAATCAAATAAAGTATTGGCGCCACACTTTGAGAATCGTACAAATATGAGACTTCCCACTCTATCCATTAAAGAATTTAGTAAACGTCTATTCAACTTGAAAATTAACAAAGCTCCAGGGGTTGATGGAGTTCACCCTTGGGCTCTAAAAGCATGCCACTTAGAATTTTCCAAACTACTTTTTATGATAATTTCAAGCTCTTTACAGGAAAGAGTTATCCCTGACAGGTGGAGATTAGCCAATGTGACACCGTTACATAAAAGTGATAATCGTTGTAACCCAGCAAACTATCGCCAGTTTTCTTGACTTCAATTCCATCTAAGGTTTTATAGAGTATCACAAAAGATACAGTTATGAATCATCTCTACTTAAATAAACTCATAGCTAAATAACAACACAGATTTGTTTGCAATAAAGGTTGTGTTACTAATTTATTGGAAACATTAGATAAGTCATGACAATACTTTCAAGAAAGCAGTAGGCTGGTGTAGTTTTTTTAGATTTTGCCAGAGCATTCGACAAAGAACATGTACTCATGTTCTGTTCCAGGAGTTTCTCTCCTTACAGTTTGTAATAATAATAATATAGCAAGATTGCATAATACTTAAAAATACACATAATGTATATTGGTTAATGTTAATTTTACAAAATAAACAATTGTAAAATTTTACATTTTTGATGTAAGAATTAAATAAAGTTTTATAATTGTGTATTGTGAATAATCAGGATTATGATCAGTCTTTTACTCCTAACATGTATCCCAGAACAACCTGGCTTATGTCCTGATGCCTTTAAGGATTTGCTTTTATCTCCAAACACAAAGGGTATTGTCTTATAGGAGTTGCCTACGCAGCAACTTTAAGGTTAGGCCTAAAATTTGTTTATGTACCCCTTCTCCATCCTTTTAATGATTATGCATCTCTTCCTGATATCTCCTAATGTGAATACAGGTCTAAAGCTCTAAAAACAAAAAAATTCAACTTCCTAAGGCTTCAGAGAAGGTAGTCAAGGAAACTACTTATTATTTTTACTAGCTGATCTGACCCGTAAAAATAAGGGTCTTTGTAAGTCTATTTTTTCTTATATGTATATCCTAGCTTTCTGGACCCATAAAATACTGGTCTTTACTAAACCTACTATTTCTATACTTATCTATTACACACCAAACATTTCTATACCTGTTATTTGTTTACTTCAATATTTTTATGTAAAATAATTCATTTTGAAAAATTCCTTTAAAAGTAAAAAAATCAACATGTGCACCTTTTCTGCATACTTAGAGCTTATAAGAGATTTATAAAAAGGTTTGTTTTTCTCCTAAATGCATATCATTGATAGCTTAGTGGTTTAGTGCGCTGTCATCAGTGTTGTTTTGGGGGATTAAAAACCTCCCCTAATAAATTTTGAATATCTTTCAATCTTGCTGTATTTATAGCAAAATTTTTATTATTGTATATATCTATAGTAATTATAGCAATACTTAGAGCAATAAATTGTAGTATAGCAAAAAAGTTTTCTAATTGTTAAAATAAAATTCAAAAATTTTGTCATTTTTATAGATTTATTATGCACAATTGTTCCATATACTGTCTGCAAACTCAACATATGCTAAAGACGCTTACACTTACAGACATTAGTACGCAATACTATACAAATGGCAGAACTAAGATGATCTTAAACTATACACTATAAAACGCAAAGGAAACGTCTATAAATTATGCTCGGTTTAGAATGTTTAATGGGGGGATTGTAAAATAGCTGTAAAATTCTAAATTTCTTTATTATATCAATATTAAATAATTTTAACTTTTATTTATTTTAAAAATAATGAAATTATTTATTTTAAATATAAAATAAAATTTTTTAATTACGTTCTTAATAAAAACATACTTTTTAAACACCCTTATTGTTTTAAAAAAATTTGAGGTCGCTGCATGGCAAGTTTAAATCATCAGCTTTCTTCTTTTTTTTTTTAATTTTTGTTATTTAAAATGCAATAACAACATGACTTTATAGTTCTATAGATTTTATATATAAACATCTTGTTTATACTCATTTTCCTTGCACGAACTTAACTTAGTTGTAAAAAAATTGAAATATAAAACTAAACTAACATACGTATCTCAATCATAACACATACGCAACAAATTTTCTGTAAAATTTGATATCTGTAAAACTTGATATATGTTTTAGTATGTTTTAACATTACATATATAAGTTTACGTACGTTAGATATTTGCATACACTTTCGTTCACGTATTCTTATAAAACAAAGCTGCTGCAACTCTTTCTCGCATTACCTCATTTTCAATGGCTGCAAAGAGTTCTGTGTCAAACAGGCTCGAAAGGGCACTATTACTATTAAGTTCAGTATTATTATATAGATTTGTAACATTCTCTCATCCTTAAACTCCAAAAAAAAGAACCTTGTTAAACTAAGCTATTGCATAGAGAGACAGGTTGAGCGCTGTACTTTCAGAGGAACAGTATGGTGGTTTTGAACCTTGAACCTCTTGATTATGAGCAGTAGGTTCTACCACTAGTCTACTATTGCATTCATATTTGAGCTGGTTTTTTTAAATAAGCTCTATAAGACATGGTTCAAAAATACATAAAAGTTTTCGGACCTGCTTTTTCTAAGCTAAATGTTGTTAGACCTGCTTCATAAGGTTGTGTCTTTTTCTTTTTTCTACTAATGCTATTATGGTCATTGCTTAAGCAAACTATCATCACTATTTCCATCTCATTCTATTTGACTCATTCATTCAACAATTACAGTAAAAGGATTTGGGTTTGTCATTCAGTAAACCTACTTGTTTTTCCTGTAGTTGTTTCTTCATGGTCAAAAATTTTATGTTCATCTAGTTTTTCTATTTTTAGGGAAAAAAACTAGACAAATAAAAATTTTTGGAGCACTTTAGAACAGTCAGAATAGAAGGATAAGACTTAGTCGAATGACAACTAACACAAGAATGAATTTTACGAGATGGCACAATAGATGTTAGCTCTTTATAGCAGCATCTCTTGTGCCATCTTTTGGCACTTTATCTTCATCAGCAAAATTTTTTTTTTAATTTCATGAACAAAAAAATAATTATATACACTTTTGTTGTACTTACCTTTATTATATCAATTCTAATTTCTTTAAGACTGTTGCTTGTGTTGTCTATTTTAAACCATTTCATTTCTGTTAATGTCTTTGTTTCTTTAAGATAACAATTCAAAGTTATATTTTCATTTTGATTAACATTTATTAGTCGACAATATGGGCAATTTTTTTCACCTTCCATATCTTCGTATCCAACTCCATCAATAATAGGATAACCTTTGAAAAAAATATCACTTAAATAGTTTTCAAGAAATTTATATTATATATATTAATTTATAATGTATATATAAATTAGTTGAAAATTCTTTTTCATTTTACACTGTGTATATAGTGCAGATTTATAACTTTCAGGGATGCAAAATCCTATTGATTTTTAAGGACTCTTTAGACTCCAGGCTTTAAGTTTTTTTTAATTTTTTTTTTTTTTATGACTAATTTGAGTCAATTAACCTATGTAAATCAATTAAGTTTTTAAAGATAGAGTAGTCATAATTTATTATTGATTTCATTTATTTACTTGAAAAATAATGAATCTTTTTAGGTTGAAGGTTTTTCTACTAATATACTTTTGACACATAGTTTTTTCAATTGTACACATATTTAAACCAAAATATCGTAATGTGTAAAAATTAAATGTGTATTTAAGTCAAAATGTTTTATTATAAACCAAAGAGTTTTTATTTAATATAAATAATAAATTATGAATTTTATTCTAGCCACTTGTTCAGACACATTTAATAGACGCCAGTTGCTACACTTATAAAATGCTTTTATGATTTAAAATGATGACTCTCTTACTTTTTTTATCAGTAAAACCATATCTGTTAGTTTAAACACTTTCATTAGGAAAACGCGTTAAAAAGATACTTTCTTTTACTTTAACATTAACGCAGGTTTGATTGTGTAAATATTTGTACCTTAACATAATTTGGCAACTAGCTATTAGTGTTCACCAAAGATTTTGCTGTGATTTGCCGTTTTGCATATGCTGTGATTTGCCGTTTTTATATTCTTTAAAAGCAATGTATGCTATAGACAATGTATGCCATAAACACGCTGCACATTTTAAAATAATTTATATGCTGGAGTTTATATGACGAAAAAAAATGTACTGCAATGAAAAAAAAAATTCAATCTTTATGGTCCAGATTGCTTCAATTATTACTTACATGACATTTAAAAACAATTTTAAAAAGAAATTAAAAAGAAAGAAAAGCTATGGGATGTGGAGGAGTAAAGATTTGGGATGTGCTTAGATTTTGTGGAAAATTTACAAATGGCTATATTAAATTAAATGCTGAAGAATATAGAAATTTGTTAAATAATCGTTTTTTTTTGGAAAAGTTGGAAAATGGTATTTCATTTTTTTCAAATTTTGGTAGTTTTTTTCAAGTCAAATATCCTATGGTTCATCAGTAAAAAAATTCAATTATTGAATGGTCCAATAAAAAAAAGATATAGAGCAAGACATTAATGATGAATTAAAGAAGGTACTGCATGTTTTTTTTTTGGTAATATACCATCCAAGGCTGAGAAAGCCATTACAGAAGAGGAGGTCTTAATTGTGGTTATAACCCTCTCTCAACTCTATAATTCCGAAACACGCGGAGAAACAAGTTAGCGTGGTACTACCAGGAATGTGGTGGGGATCGAACTTGGAACCACTTGCTTATAAAGCAAGTGCTCTACCATTACACCACTACCGCATACTGTTTAGGACAATATCTCAGAAAATACTACTAATCTCAGCAAAATAAAGTATTAACAAAATAAAAATTCATAATGATGCATCTTAATTTTTATTAAGGTTTTAATTTTGCAACATTTTTTGAATATTTTTTGAATTGATTGACAAATTGAAACCAGAATGTATTGCAAATTAAAAATTAATCAAGTTTCTAAGCATTTGAGTAGTTTAGAAATGATCATTTATTTATATATGATATTTTTTGTATATTTATAGGCCATAGTGCATGTATATACATACGCCTATAGTGTTACTTACAGGGACAAATTTGCAACAAACAAAAAAGTATACTTACGGGGACAAAAAGATTATCAGGTACATTTTTATGTACCCATAAATTTTTGTCTCCGCAAGTATACTTTTTTTGTAAAAAAATGGTACCTGTATGCAACTTTGAAAAGTAAAAAGTACATACATCAACTGTCTTATAGCCTACTGCTGGTAAGAGTGTACATCTACTACATACACATATAAGTAGTAGCTACATCTACTGAGAGTTTAATCAGGATTAAGGTCAGGTTTAGAGCTAGCATTAGGGTTCCGGGTTTAAATATTGTTAAATTTCTGTAAACAATTGTTTTTGTAATAAAAGATGGAAAAAAATCAAAATAAATTTAATATATAATAATTAAATAAAAATAAAAAAAATAGTTATAAAAAATATTTTTTTTATAACAAAATATTAAATTTAAAATTGATTTTATCTTATCTAAGACATTTTTAAATGATGTAAACAAACAAAAAAAATTATGATGTTATAAAAATGACTTATGTATAAACCATGATAATTGAGTGTTGAAGTTGATATGACAACTTTAAAGTGAAATTATAATGTTTTAATGAATTCAAATGTATGCATATTATGAGTATGTAACCATGGAGATGGAGATTGTTAACTATAAGTTCAACAATTTTACCATCAGATATATAGTAGAGAATTGAAGCATTAAATCCTTTTCCATTTATTGAACTATCCGTTTTAAAATGTATAAATAAATTTTGACCAGTAGTTGTTCTAGTTAAAGTATTACGGGCTTTTGTTCCACATAAACCATCGGGGTCAGGTACTGAGCTGTCCAACACCTAAACATATAAATACATCTGGTAACAATAACTTCTGTAACAGCACTAATTAAGTTTTATAACTAATTAATAAAAAATTCCATATAAAATAGTTTTTTACTTAGGTTGTACCTAATGATTTATTTACAAACAGAAAATAAACCATTAGCTTATTAAAAAAATTTTCTAACACTGAACTGCAGTTTCATTGCAATGTTTACAGTGCTAGTTTGAAAGAAAATCACCATATAAGTTTTAAATGTAAATAAGTTTTTGGACTTCTTTACTTGGCCACAGCTAGTTTTCTTATTATTGTAACATAATAAGTTTGATGATTTTACATTTTTTAATAGTAATTTTTGTTTTGTGTTAGGCAAAATTTATTATTACAGTTTATTTTTTATATACAAAATTGACAATATAAAATTTATTCGTAAAATACTTCAACTTTTTACTTATTTATTTAGGTTATTTTTTAACTTAATTTATACTAACTCGTTTGTTTCATTGTGCAGATTCAGTTATACCATACCCCACCCGACACACACACTTTACCTCAAAAAAATAAAAAAATTTCCTCTATTTGTGAAAAGGATTTTTAAAAAATGTTTTTTATGACTTTTTTATTATATATCTTTTAACTCTTTGTCAGTATGCATGAAAGTAATTACTTTAATGTATACTGATGTTTAAAAAGAGATTATATTTTACAAAAAGTTATTTAAAAAAAAAATCTTTTTGCATTTGCAATGCTATCATTTTTTTAGCATTAGCTGAAAATTAAATTAATTTTGCATCAAGTGATGAGTTAAAACAACTAAAAGTTAATCTTTTCTTTTACTTGACCAGAACTTACCTTATTTGTACACAAAAAAATAGCTTAATACTTAAATTTTTTCTCCATATTGATATAATAGTGTAGTCCTGTGGATGAAATACGTATCTAATTTTGAGGAGCGGCTAACACAGTTGCATATAAACTAAAGATTGACAGGTCTTTTTCAAAATGAATCTTGTCCAGACTTTTCACCCCTTTATTTCACTGAACTATTAAACTTAAATTAAAAAGATTATTTTCCAATTTTTAGTACTAAAAAGATTATATTTTTAGCAGTGCTCGATGTGGAAAAAAAAAAGTAACAAGATAGTATTAGGTAAATTAAAAATACCATCCTATAAAATCATTGTTACATATAGAGATTTATAAAAAGCTGGCGGGATAGTTTATACTTCATAAAAAGGTGACGCATCCCGCCCCACTTCTAGCACTGTTTTTAGGAAATTTGTTTTGCTATATTCTAATAGTCTAATGAAAATGAGCCTGAATAGAAATAAAAATGTTTGCAAATCAAATTCATCTTTGCTAATATCAAAAGAGTCAACGTTTTTATTTTACGAACAATTGTCTATGGTGCTTCCACTGCCACTTTTAAGAAAATAATGGGTGTTTAAAAGACCAGAAAGAAAAGGAGATATCTTATATATCAAAATGATTTTTAGTTGCAATAAAAGGCACCTAAATGATTTAACAATAATCAGGATTCTGCTTGTCATCAAGCTTCCTTCACCTATCACTTGGTTATTACTCATTGTTGAAATAATTCTTTGATTATCAAATCATCCAACAAAGGCAAGTTGAATGTAAATATTGACGAAACATAATCAAATGCCTCAATAATAATACCAATCTAACTCAGATTTTGTATCTCCTTGAAACAAAAAGCAAAGAACTGAAACATCTTCACGGCACATTGGGTGCATGTACACCCATCATGATATCTAGAAAAAGTTATTGCACACCATAGAATGTTTAAAGAGTTAAAGTTTCAATGATTTGTTAATAAAAGTCCTTCTCCACTATGGCTGATGATGAAACAAATGATATAAATGTCAAACAGTTATCAATTTGCAAATGGTCTGTTGATAGTATTCTGAATGTCTGAGAAGGCTTTTAGGATTTTAATAAGGAATTTCTTAGGTGTCTTACGCAAGTTTCTGCATAACAGTAGAAAACTTTAAGTCTGATTAACTCACTTTAAACCCCTGACAAAATAATGTACAATTCTTCATGGTGTTATGGGAAACTTAGGGGAAATATAGGTATTAGTTAAATTTTCACCAAAATGAAGAAAGATACTGGGAAGCATTATGAGCAATATAGAATTTGAGGAATCTTCATGTTCCTTCAACCAAAAACTTGACAAACATAGTAGCGTGGCAAGGTTGATCATTAGGGCAAAGTGTTTTAAAAAAATTTTGGATAACTAGGAAGTCTTGACATGGGAGTAATCGTTTACCAGAAACTTTGGGTTTTGATTCAAGATCAAAAATTGGGAGATAAAAATCATATGAATTTATTCAATTTTTGTTTTGGTTTAAATTTAACGTTTGTATGTATTCATGAACAACCTCTTAAAAGCCTTAGATAATGCTTTTTTCTATAATTAATTTTTATGGTCTTTTTTTTTTTTTTTTTTTTTTTTTATATAATAAGGAAAATAATAAATGTAAATTATAATTTTTAGTTGCATTCAAATAAATGATAATTTATTTGAAAATAAATTATAATTTTTAGTTGCATTCAAGTTTACGCTAATTTTTAGTTGCATTCAAAAATTAAAGCAGTCACGTGACTTTTATATGACTCTCCGAATTAATATCTGGTAAAATATTGGTAAAATTGTTTTAATGACATTTCTTGTAGTACTTGATAATTTATTTATTTAATTTATAACACATACAATACAGCTAAGTACTAATATTTTAATTTATTTATGTAATATTTCAGTCTGAATAGTTCAGACCGTCATCAGACGTAAAATTAAATACAATAAAAATCTCACAAAAAAATTACTTCGTAAAAAATTATGAGAGTCTTTGTTAACTGCGGTAATTCCTTTGAGGGCTATTTTCGTGTTATTTATAAATAAGCAAACAAACAAAGTTTCTAAAGCTTTTTTTTTTTATTTTATTATTTTTTTTTATTCGTGGAACATTTAAAACGCAATATCTTGTCATCTTTAGATCGACTTATTTTTTAAAGTTTTCCATTAATTCTTTGGGAGAATTTATAACAATTACAATATAATTAGTATTTCAAATATAATAAGTAGTATTTTAAAATCAAAAAATGAAATAACCTACTTGAAACCATCCATTTTTTTCTTTTTCTTCTTCTTCTTCTTCTGCTTGTCGATAGATTTTAACGTAATCATAAAATGCGCAAACTTTGTTAGTTTCCAAATCGAATACGTCAAACGTGATTTTAAAAATGCTTGTTCCATTCAACCCGTTAATCACTATTTTGCAATTTAAGTCAGGATCATATCCTAACCGACTGACACTGTAACTAGGACTTTCAATGAATACAGTTTCGTTCAGCGTTATATTCATCAAAGTGTTTCCTTCACAAAGCTTTACTAAACAAATTCATTAATAAATATACTTTGACTTCTGCAAAGTCTTATTTTTTGATTTCTCGCTTTGTAGAATTCAAAACTTTTTAATTTATTTTGTTTTTTTTTTAAAAAAAATTTACCATTTGCGAAATCACGTTCCTCAAAGTCGAAAATGATTGAAGATGACTTTTCCTAGAAAATTTTTTAAAAGTAAATCTTTCGCAGATTTCACAAGTTATTATTATTACAAAACTTTAGCTAAATTAAATTAATATTATCATATTGCATAAGTTTGCTAACTTGTTTTTATATTAACTTTTATTTATGAGCGGATTAAATTTAAATTTTTATTATAAATACTTTGGTAAAGAGTTGTTTTTTTTTTTTTTTTTTTTTGTTTTTTGTCTTGTAAAAAATTTTCTGCCAAAAATTACATATACATACCGATCTAAGCAAGAAAAAGATTATCAACGGTATTACTGACATTTTTAAAAACGTCCTGCTACCTGTAGGAAGAAAAAATCTTAAATAAATACGGTATTCAGCATTCGAAATGGGTTTTTTAAATAATTGATGCTTTCGTTTTTCTTATTTATCGTGTTGCTAAGGCAACTTTATTTTATTTTTATTTTCAAAATATATTCTTCTAACTATATAAAATTTATAACTATGATAATTATAAAACTTGGTAATTTTTTAATATTTAGATATCAAAATAAATCATGTCAGTAAAAAATGAATATATATTTTTAATTTTATTTTTGATGTAATTTTCATATAGAGTATCGTGTATTGGGGAAAAGGAAATAATCGCTACCAGATGGAAATACCTGAATCGGCGCTGCGTTCTCATACTCCTAACGACTATCATTTAAAATCCCAAAGAAAAGGTTTCAAAAGGTTCGTTTTTTTAACTATTTTATTAATGTTTTTTAAATTAAAATTCAAAGTATATAATTAAAAAAAATTATTATTTATACAACTATAAGCTGTTGTTTTTTAATGTTGATTACAAAAATAACTGAAATAATAAAAATAATATTAATCTTAAAAACGGCAACCTTGAAAATTATATAGGTTATATTATGAGATAATGTTAGATGATGTTGACACATTTTACGACTACAAAAGTCAATTTTTTTAGATTAGAAGAGTTTTTCAATTATCATTTTTTAGATACCAGTCTGCTCAAATTGAAAAATTGGTTGCAGATTTAGACGCTTTTGAAGAAACACGAGATGCTTCACTTAAAGATACTATGAGAAATATTTTTAATCGCTTTGACAAAGAGTATACCTTTATAAAATTATATTTTATTTTCGTTATGAAGTTATATATATATATATATATATATATATATATATATATATATATATATATATATATATATATATATATATATATATATATATATATTGTTTTATAAATAAAATATCGCTTTATTTGTTTTTAGCTTAAGTTTTTTTCGTTTTTAAATATAAATATTATAAAATAAAGATGTATATATAATTTCTAGATATCAAACATGGGAAAAATCAGTGAAATGCTTGTCCATACTTGATTGTCTTCTTTCATTGGCAACATATTCGTAAGCTTTTTATATGTGTGTGTGTATATATATATATATATATATATATATATATATATATATATATATATGTATGTATATATATATATATATATATATATATATATATATATATATATATATATATATATATATATATATATATGTATATATGTATATATGTATATATATATATATATATATATATATATATATATGTATATATGTATATATGTATATATGTATATATATATATATATATATATATATATATATATATATATATATATATTTTATACCTTATCAAAACTAAATTTTTGTTTTATATAAAATTTGTATTAAGTTGTTTTAATAAAGAAAAAATATATTTTAAAAGATTTATACTGAAATTTATATTTGCAGCCAAATCAAAAAATATGTGTGTTTCAGATTTTTTTTATCATTCCCACCAAATTTAATATTGTTTTTTTATTTAACTTAAGGATCTGCGAGGGAAAACTTTTGTTCTTTTTTGTTTTGTTTATTAGTGAGATTTAGCTTTCGTAATTTTTCTGATGATCCCTTTATACATGCGGTTTTATTAAAACTAATTTTTAAACGGATTCGGTGTTAATATTGCATTATGCTGATTAATTAAAATATTTTTTCTGGCAATAATAAATTAGAAATTGCTTTTTATTGTCGGTACAACAAAATTGTAACTTTTTCTAGAAAATAATAATGTTAATGATAATTTATATTTTTAACAATGTCATAAATGTGGTATTTATTATTATTATTTTTTTCAATTATGCGATAAAAGAATGCAATTTTTTTCGATTATGCGATAAAAAATCGCATTAAATCGCACTGATTTTTTTTTTATTCAAGTCAACTCACAATAAATCGCCCAGTGATTTGTTTTATTAAAATAACAGCTTTGCGCCTCGATTGTTTATCTAAATATCAAAATTTACCACATTACCGAAATTAATTAAATTGCGATAATGCCATTGCTTCATTTGTATCTTATAATAAAGTTTTTAAACTGAATTTATTTGGATTTATAAAAGTTGTTTATAAAATATTTGTTTATAAACGAAAATTTTCGTAATATTTCCCTAGTATAAAGTTGAAGAAAAAAAGCGTTTCCTTACAAATCCTATTATTATATTTACAAAATATATTGCAGCTGCGGTATATAGTGGTTATAGTTTGGGCTTTAGTACTGGAAATCTTTGGTTTGAAGCCGGCTCTGGCCATATATGTATCATTGGTGAGGATCTAAACTTCCCGGTTAAATGCTATTTAACCAGGAAGTTTAAATCTTCTGGGGTGGTGCTTTGTTATAAGACTGTTCTGGCTATTTGGAGCACCTTTTAAATTACTTTAAAAAAATAGTATTATAAGGCATTGAAGTGAATTTAAAATTTACTCTATTATTAGCCCTATTATTAAGTATTTTCTTAAACTCTGGTATGCTTGTTTGAATCAGAACGTATAGAATAAAAAGATATGTTTCTTGTTGTTTTTTTATTTATTACTATTGTTTATTGCTTTTGTCATTTTTATTCCTACTATTTTTAGCTTAAATATCGAAGGTCTTTCGTGTCGTCCTCAAGTATGTAGTTTGCTAGACGAGAATGGGAACGAAGTTCAGGTTACAAGTTATATTGCAATTATTATTTACGGCGAAGATTTACGCAAGAAGTGAACTTGAGTCAAGTTCGACTGAAATTGTAACCTATAGCGGCAGAGTATTTTTTGAGGGGAAAACCCATACTCTGTCGCTATTGGTTACAATGTAAAGTTCAAGTCGAACTTTACATTGTAACCAATGAACTTAAGTTCGCTTCTTGCATTTCACCCGTAGTGTCAGAAAGATAAAATATTAGAAATAACTTTAGTGCGTGTGTACACATATATATATATATATATATATATATATATATATATATATATATATATATATATATATATATATATATATATATATATATATATATATATATATATAAAACCACAACATTTCTGTCTTCACAGTAGCCATTAATCGCAGCGTTAAATATTGGGAGTAAATCTTTATGCTTTTAGTTTTTTAGGAGATTTATCTTTTTAATAAAATGTTTAAAACTGTTTAGCCTTTTTTTGAGTTTGTCAATTGTCGTCATCCTTGCATGCCGAACGCCAGTGATCTGATTCCAAATGATATATTACTTGGAAAAAATGAGGTTATTTGTATATTTTTTTTATGCGTTGCATTATATTTATTTAAACAAGAATTTTATTTTATTTAAATATGTTTTTAATATATAATTGTTCTTATAGCATTCTAATAATAACAAAAAAGCTTCTTGTTGTTTATTGATTACTGGACCGAACATGGGAGGAAAATCAACGCTTATGCGACAAGCTGGAGTTTTACTCATCATGGCCCAAATGGTAATATCTAGATTATTTTTTTAATTATTTTGTGTCTGATAATGCAACATTTAGTGAAGAAAAGATTGTTTTGATGTGAAACAAATTGTTTTGGTTAACATAGGGTAGTTATGTTCCGGCTGAAGTTTGTCGCTTTACGCCTGTTGACCGTGTCTTTACAAGGCTTGGAGCACGTGATAGAATCTTACACGGTAGAAATAATTTGATTTATTTTTTAAATATTTTGTAGTGTTATTATTTTTTAATGTCGAATTTGTAATATATTTTAGGTGAAAGCACATTTTTTGTTGAGTTGAGTGAAACCTCTACTATATTTCGACATGCCACAAAACATTCGCTTGTGTTGCTAGACGAACTTGGTGACTGTTTTTATAACTTGTTATAAAGTTTTATTATTTTGTTAATTTTTTTTTTTTTTTATTATTGTTATTATTATTGGAATGTTGAAAATCATTAATATTTACTTACAAAAGTTTTTTTTTTTTACAGTTTAATTTTTTCAATGCAAATTTAGGTAGAGGAACAGCAACCTATGATGGTACTGCTATTGCTTCAGCCGTCTTACATGAACTTTCAAAAGGGTTAGGTTGTCGCACTCTTTTTTCAACACACTATCATGGGATTGTAGACGAATTTGCAAATATTCCGAATGTGAAAGTTGGTCATATGGCAAGTTTTTACATTAGGTTTTGAATAAATAAAAATATATTGTCATTCAATTTTGTTGCATCTTGTATTCAACGTATCGGTATTATGCCGATATTATATCCTATATCAATATGCAAGGTACTATTTTTTTATTCAAATTTCTAACATTTAAAAAAAAATGTTAAAATTTTTAAAGGCATGTATGGTGGAATGCGATAATGAAGATGATGATCCTACCAAAGAAAATATAACTTTCCTATATAAACTTACTAGCGGTGCTTGTCCTAAAAGCTACGGTTTTAACGCAGCTAAATTGGCGGGAATACCGTTGTGTGTAAGTCGATCTATATTTTCATTGAAAATTGTTTGTTTTTTTGTATTTCTTTTTTTTTTTTTTTTTTTTTTTTTTTCAATTATTTTTTTTTAATTATTTTTTTTTTTTTGTTCAGATAATAAAATCTGGTCATGTTAAAGCAAAACAGTTTGAGGAATCAGCTAGAAAGATTCGCATTTTGAGGTATCAGAAATTAGTTAAGCTCAAAGCATATTTTGAATTTTTTTCTTTTTACTTTTAAATTACTTGCTATTTGTTTTATTTTACTTGTTAATTAATAAAATAGGTTTTGCGTTTTTTTAATAAAAACTTTTCTGATTATTTTGACTCAAAAAAAAAATATGGCAATCGTTTTCGGCAATTTTATGTAATTACCGATATTACACGTATATTAATATTACGTAATATAGTAAGATATTAGTATAAGGAAAAAGATTCTTTTTAGAATTTGTTACTTTTTGAAATAGGTTATAAAAAAAATCTAAAAAGATATAAGCTTGTAAAATTGGGCACGCAATAATTTATACTTAACTACCAAAGGCTTAAAGTCGCTTAAAGTCGCTTGTGTTTTATGTCTCAAAAAATCTTATTTCCTCACTTAAAGTTAAATAACTTAATCGTAGTAAATTAATTAAGAAAACAAAACAATTGCTTTATATCGGCTTCAGGTTCAGTTGCACGAAAAACAAACCGTTTGTTTTAAGAAGGTTATGCAAAACAGCGCTTACGGACGGTACGGACGGCGTTTTAGTCAACTATTACAATAATAATAGCTTGAACAATAAAACTCTAGGTAAAATTACGTCAGTTTTGTTGGGTCTGGTACAGTAACAATTTTAAGTAGGTTGTGTGAGTTATTTGTCGAATTCTTTTTTAAATGTTTTACACTAGTACGCTTTATTGTTGATCTCAAAATTCTTATTTTCACTCAAAACTAAAAATCTACTGTGCAATACCGGTATATGCCGATATTGAAATATTTTGAATATCGAAAATCGGTGTTGGAATTTTTTTTGTATTATGGAAACTCTAATGAGAGCATTTCAACGACAAGCAACCACAAGTGTAAAATAACCAAACAGTGCAAATCAAATTAAGAAAATGCGAAAATTTCTGAAATGTGATGAAAATTCAGAGTTCACATGAGAAAAGTTAATCGGTCAGTTGTTTAGCATGTTTGCCAAAAATATAGAAACTAGGCGATGACTGTTTTTTATATAAAAATATGCTACGAATAATATTTTTTTACATATTTAATTGCTTATTAAACTATATGCAATATTTTCTTTCTATTCATAATTTCTTGTGTGGTTTACATTAATTACCGCGTTAATCGTAACAATTTAAAAAAAGTTTATTTTAAAAAAATTGATCGTAAAATTTTTTTACCTGAAAACATTTTATTTGGTTCTAAATGTGCAATTTAATCCTATGCTTGTGGCTGATGTCGATAGGTACATGGCATCAACCTGCACCTATCGGCAATAATGCTTAAGCTTGCTACTTCCTACTAGATAGCATCATGTGCAATTTAAAAATGATCGCACCGATTCGCAATTGTTTTTTTAATATATTGAATGTCATTGTAATTTTTTTTTTTTTTTAATTTTATATTTCGGGGAAAGGTAAAGTATTTTGATGCAATTTTTAAATTATATTCTAAATTACATTTAGTAATTAAATAGCGAATAACGAAGTAATTGAAAGGGAATAAATAAAGATATTCTAGAAACTTGTGTTTAAATTATTTTTTTTATGTTTATATAAAAAATATAAGTACAAAAAAAAAATTATTTTCCAACCCCTTAGATCAATGGCATCTGACGCCAACGTTAACGCTAAGTAATCGATGGATCAGCGCATCTATAATAGAAAGTTATTATTTAATTTTTTATAGTTACAGATTATTCCCTTGACAACTCTTTTACGCGACTCATTTTGAGCAATAGTATAAATGTGCAATTGAAGAAAAATCTGAATATTTTTAAAAATTTATAGGTCATCGTATTATGCATTTATTTTTCTAATACTCCGAATGCTGTATTAATTCTTAGTAAATAATATAAACAACTCACAGCGCGCTGTGAGTCGTTCATAATATTTACTAAGAATGATAATATAGGATTCGGAAAATTGAGAAATGAAAAAATACCATTTTATGCTGCAGCGTAAAATGGCTGTAATATTGATTAATTTTATGCAATTGCCAAGTGTTTTGTCTTTTATTTGTCTTTCCATGTGTTGTCTTTGTTATAGGTCGATACTAAGTGCAAGACCAAGCGAGTTAAGGAGGAAGCTTCAATCGTGTTAATTTTTGTAAAGTTATGATTTTGTTTTGTTTACTTTGATGTTTTGCAACTTGTTATTATATGTAAAGAACTATTTTTATAGATATGACTTTTTAAGTTTTCAGGTGTCACCTACTAATAAAGGAAGAAGTGTATAAAAACTTTTAGCGGCTTTAAATCGTGTCGGTTCTTTACTTTCAAGCGTCAACCTGTTGGTTCTTTACTCTTAAGTTTTACATCTTGGATCTCGAATCAAAATGTAAAACTTTTGCAGCCTAAAAACCTTCACAATTTATTTAAATTGAGAATTAATCATTAAAATAGGTCTAGTTTTCTTTCGGATAAAGCGCTTAGATAAAGATTCGGATAAAGCGCTTAGAAAAAGATTCGGATAAAGGTATTAGAAGACTACCTAATTTACCCCAGATACATTGGTCCATAAAGCATGACTTAAAAATAACAATTAAAACTTAAAATCAAATGACTTTTAATGACAATTTTTGTACTTTATCCGTGTCTAATAAAGTGGGTGAGTATGCTTTAGTCTACCCCGAAAAATGAAACAAAAATTTTTGTCAAAATGTTGTAAATGTTATTTTAGACAAATATTTTGTATTATCTTATCTTGAACGGAACGCAAAAAAACTGGAAACGAAACTAGAGAATAAAGAAGATGAATTGGTACCATATCTTATAATCTAGACGGGTCAGGGCAGTAGCATCCGTTTTTGCCATTTATAATAACATCCGTGAAACATCATCCGAAATTTCATCGATGTATAATAACATCCGTGCAATAACATCCCAAATTTCATTGATGTATAATAACATCTGTGCAACTACATCTGTAGATTTTTCGGATGTAACTACATCCGATTATTTTTTTTTTTAAATTCATAATTTTAACCAGATGTAGTTACGCATCTAATTTTTTTCGGATGTAACTACATCCGCCAAAAAAAAATTATTATAATGCATTGTTTTAACCAGATGTAGTTACAGATCTGATTTTTTTCGGATGTAACTATATCCGCCAAAAAAAAAATTATAATGCATTATTTTAAGCATAATAATTTTTTTTTTTTAATTATTTGATAGGACTGCCTGCCCAAACCAAACCCTCAGTCGATGCACTATGCGTTGCTCTTATACAAAATGAGGAAATAGGCATAAAAATAAAGAAGGACTTGAAATATTTAACTTATTTTTTCACAAGACATCAAATTTTTATTTATATTTCTATATTTAAAAGAATCATATTCGGTTTTCATAAAAAAACAATTTATTGTATTTTTTTTCAGTTAGTCCGGACTAATTCTAGATTTGTCCGGAAAACTACACAAGTCCGGATGATTTTATTCAAAAAAAAGTAGGCGCCTATATTTTATAGAATTTTACAAACTAAGTATATGAACACTATTTCAAAATAAACAGTATCATTGAATATAATAAACAACTCTGCTATCATATGATACTTGGCTCTTTGCATTCTTTCACAGTTTCTCAACGTTCTATTCTAATAGATGTTTTTAATAACTTGTGGCTATGAAAATAGCCGTTTTTTTTAAATTCAACACAGAACAGCTCATCAGTATGATTCTTCATGGTCTTACTTCCTAAAATAGTAAATTGCTTGTTAAAATTGATTAAATTATTGTTAATTAACCAAAATTATGAGATTGCCTAAAAAAAAAAAAATCAATCAAAACTATTAACAATATTAATAATAAAACTATTTTACCTTTATTTTAAGCAGTTATCAGAAGAACTGTCACTTTGCTTTCTTAAACTATTTTGTTTTCACTCTTTTTTTATCCATTTTGTTTTTTTTGCAAAAGAGGTACATATCAGATGTCATAAACAAATAATTAGCTGTATCCCTAGTGTTTTCTGCAAAAGAGGTTAAACGAGCATGACCAATTCGAGCAGTTTTGTTTTCCTTATTTCTGGCTTCAATAGCACTCTCAGACAAAGAACCTATCGGATACTTAAAATACCTTATGAAAGAAGTACCATGAACTATCACTCTATGCACAGATTGTGACATAGGTATGGTTTTTAAAAATTTATCATTAGTTATGAGTGCAAATAGATGTTCAGATTTCTGTTTGAAAACCTTTATATCCGGTCTTGTAGTTGTTCTGTTTATATCAATGAGTAAATCTCGAAACAACTTAATCATTCTGATATCCAAGTTTAAAATTCTCCCTGTCACAATCGGGTTATTAAAAAATTTGCGAGCAACATCTCCAGTATTGGTTGTTCCACATCCTTTCCTGACAAAAGAAACCCTTATATTCAGTTGTATCTTGAATAAATACTGGAATTTTTTTTTGTTTTCAATAAATTCTTTACTCTTTTGTGATGGAATATTTCTTCCTTGCTTAACAGCTGGGAGTTTACAAGCAGTATTGAAAATCCACTCCATACAGCGCATCCATAGATGAAGACTGCAAATTCTAAGTTTCAAAACATGCTTGTTTAAATTAATATTTCTTTTCCAAATAGTTTTCGATTTAAACTCCTTAGAATTTGCAAGGCATACATGGCAGGACTGAGATGAAATTTTTTTTTTAAGCATATTTGATACAACAGCGTTTAGTGTTTTGCCATCATTCATTGTGGTATAAATAGTTGACAAACTAGACTTTACTACAAAAGTACTTTCACCAAGTTTAAATTCAATATTCTTCAATAAAAAAAATTCATTTTTCAAATGTTCAAACTTTTCCTGAATAAAACTAGCAGTCTCTTTTGCAAAACAAAAAAGAAGATGACGGGTTGCATCTGGACTATTAGGAATTAATTTTTTCCATATCATTTTTTCTCCACTTCGGATCTTCAGCAGTACAAACACTATACTATACACAGAGCGATCATCTACATCTCTTTTCATAGTTGCTGAATTTTGAAACTCAGATTGATTACTTTGACCATCACCTCCTACTTTGCAAATAATTTGTACATTATCACGCTCTTCTTGTGATAAACTCATTATGCAGTTACTTTCATAATCCAAAAGATATTCAAACACTCTAGAAACTGAATGCTTTATCGTATGGAAAAGACTACATTTTACTTCGGTTTCAGAATATTCAACCTGTTCTGGATATGTCAATTTTTGTATTGCTTCTGTAATATTATGAGGATGATATTATACTAAGAATTAAATACAACATAAAGTTTAAAGCGTGCAAACCGCCATATTTATTTCAAGTAATAATAATAACACGAGGCATGTGTGTATTATGCCGAACACAGATGTTACATCTTCCTTCTTAAACTTTTTTTTTTTTTTTTTAATTTAAAGATATGTATATTTATCATATAGTTAAACAAGTTCTTTATAATATACACTGTTAAATGAAGTCTCTCAAGTAAGCAGGTCTCTTTTTAGTCCTTAGAGATCTTCGCAAGTCAGGCTGCGGTTCAGTCGATAGAGTTTCAGGAATACACGTAGCTTCTATTTCGTTGTTTGCTGTTTCCTCATTTGATGTAGGAGGTGTGATAACAGCCGGTAAATCGTATGGCAAATCAAGTTGTTCATGCTGATATACTAGTGGTTGCTCATTGGTTTTAATCAGATGTTTACGATTGCGTCGGTATACTCTTCCGTACTTATCTACCACGTTGTATGATCTGGGTAATGTTAATTTTTCTTTAACTGTCACTTTCTTCCATTTTCCATCCTTTCTCATACGGGCAGTGTCGTTTGCTACGAGGTTTGGGAGTTCAGATGCGTTTTGATCATAGTATTGTTTTTGACGATTTCTGGACTTGGTGATCTGACTATAAGCATTTACAGGAACTGCTGGTATAAGTAAGTCATGGTAGACAGGTAGGGTTGTTCGCGTTCTTCTGTTCATGAGAAGTTGGGATGGGGAGTAGTCCATACCAGTGAGAGGCATGTTGAGGTATTCTAGAAGACCAAGCTCAGGGTTGTCACATTTTTTTAGTATTTTCTTCATAATTTTTACGCCCATTTCACTGAGACCATTTGATTGGGGATAGTTTGGACTTGATGGAGTGAAGTTAAACCCATATTCTTTTGAGAAGTTAAGGAATTCTGCACTGTTGTAGGGGTTGTTATCGGCAATGAGACTTGAAGGTATTCCGTGACGAGTAAATATGGTTTTCATAAATTTGATTACAGAAAATGCCGTTTTGTCAGGAATGACACTGTTTTCTATAAATTTAGAAAAGTAGTCTATAACAATTGCATAGATTTTTCCATGCAACTCATATATGTCTGATCCTACTTTACTCCACGGTAAGTCAGGAATGTCGTGTTGAATGTTTTTTTCCTTTTTGTTGTTATTACGGTATTTAAGGCATTTATGGCAATTAAGTATTAGTTTATCAATGTCGCTTGTAAGCCCTGGCCAGTAAACAACGTTTCGAGCTCTAGCTTTCGTCTTTTTGGTGCCAAAGTGTGATAAGTGAAGCTGTGTTAATATAAGGGGTTTCATATCAGTTGGTATGACTATTTTATTTTATTTTAAAATTATTCCCTCTGCTATGTGTAAGTTGTTTCTGATGGTCCAATATTTCTTTTCTTCACCACAGAGCATTTGTCGGTTTCGGGGCCAACCATAAGTTATATAGTTTGTTATTTGAGAGAGTACAGGGTCAATTTTAGTGTCGTGCTGCAATTGTTTTAGTCTATCTGTTGATATTGACAAATTTTGAACTAAAGTGTGGACCATAACGCTGCAGTCCTCATTTAGGCTATCATACTCGTCAAAAATGTTGAGGTGAACACGTGATAAAGAGTCTGCAATGTGTAGATCTTTTCCTGGAACATATTTTACAATAACTTGATATTTTTGAAGTCTTATTAGAAGTCTTTGTATGCGAGGTGGTGCTTCTGACAGTGGCTTGTGTAAGATATATTCAAGAAGTTTGTGATCACTTTCTATTGAGACCTGTCGCCCATAGGTATATTGGTTGAAGCGTTCACAAGCAAAAACTATTGCTAAAAGTTCTTTCTCTATCTGGGCATATCTCTGTTCTGCTATGGTTAGACTACGAGAAGTATAGCTGATCGGGTGACCTTCTTGCATAATACAGGCTCCTAACCCATGTGAAGATGCGTCTACCTGAATTTGAACATCTTTTGACATGTCGAAAAATGAGAGTACAGGAGAGGATGAAAGAACTTGTTTAATTTTTTCCATAGCACTGGTATGTTCATGGTTCCATGACCAGTGTATGTCTTTTCTAAGCAGCTGGCGGAGGGGAGCTATTATCTCTGACATATTTGGGATGAATTGTCGCAGGTAGTTGACCATTCCTAAGAGCCGTTGCAAATCTGCTTGACATGTAGGCAATGGGTATGCAGATATGGCTTTAGTTTTTTCAGGATCAACTCTTATGCCTTCATGGCTGATTATGTTGCCAAGATACTTGACCTCAGATACTCGAAATTGTATTTTTTTAAGGTTGAATTTGATGTTTCTTTCACGAGGTCGTTGTAGAATTTGTTGGAAAATTTTATCATGCTCTGTATCTGTTTTAGCTGCAATAATCAAGTCATCGTGAATAGCCAGAACATTAGGGATATCACCGAAATTAAGTTCAATCATCTCTTGTGCAGCATCTGATGCGCATGATATGCCGAACGGCATGCGGTTGAATTTGTATCGGCCATAAGGAGTGTTAAATGTGCATAGCTCTGAGGAAGGTTCATCTAGTTTTATATGCCAATAGCAATTAGCCATGTCTATAACAGTGAAAACTTTGTTGCCGCAAAGTTTGCTAGAGATTTCTTCTGTAGATGGAGTGGTTTTGTATTGTCTTAAAACAGACTTGTTTAGTTCTTTCGGATCAATGCATAGTCTTAAGGATCCATCTTTTTTCTCTACGATGACCATTGAGTGTACCCAAGGTGTCGGTTTAGAAATTTTTGAGATAACTGTGGCTTTTACTAGACGATCAAGTGTGCTTTTAAGTTTAGGTAGGACAGTCATTGGTACTTTCCTTGGTGCATGAATGACTGGGATCCGAACACGGATGTTACAGCTTCAACTTGGTTAAACCTGGAGGAACAAGATGACGATTATGAGTCACTATATTTTTAAATTCAGTCCATGTTCTATCTGTAAGTTTCAAATTACAAAGAGCTTGCAATGACAAATTTGAACCATATAAAATAGCCCTACCATCAGTAGAAGAATTAGATTTAAACCTTTTGACAGCATGTTGCAGTTCTTCCACCTCTCGTTCTCTAAGACTATCTGTTCTTTTACGCTTCATCCTGTTTGTAAGCTTAATAAAAGACTTTCTAGGTTTTGGTGTACAAGATGTATTGACTGCAGATGATTTAGGTACTCTACATGGTACACTATAAATAATAAAAAAATACATTGAAACATATATACATTTTGAAGGTTTTGTGAAACATAGTCAAACAATATGTGTGTGTGCAAAATAAAAAGAGGGACATTTATCTATGCATACCTGTTTACATTGGATCCATGAGTACGAAGCAGTAATTCCCCTTCTTTTATTTTACGCTCACCCTGCTTGATGAGTTGACTACCATGTTTAATCAGATTTTCACCTTTTCTAATTAATAGCAGTTCTTCCTCATGTGTTCTAATCTCTTTTTCAGAATCTTTTTTAATCTACACGCACAAGTATAATATATATATATATATATATATTATACTTGTATAATATATATATATATATATTATACTTATATATTATATATTATACTTGTATAATATATATTATATATTATATCTACTATAGCATATTTATATGCGCAATTGCTCACTTTTTTTGCTAGCCTAATTTAAGTGAGCGTTTTTAGAAAACGATGAGGGAAAACGAAGAATAATGAATGAAAAGGTTGCTGACCCATACCAAACCCTCAGTATATTATACTCACAAGAGATACTTGCATTGTTGATTTTGATCCAAAAAATGTTTATATTTAGTAAGAAAGAACTTTTTTCTTTTTCCACACTCATTAAATTTTTTTAATTAAATTAAAAGCCAGACTTTTGAAAATGTTGAAATTCACAGTGCAATCAGCATAAAGTGATAAAAACTTGGACTGCAAAAATTTAGCACATTCAGATACATATTTACTCGTGAAAATATGCCTTGAAGGAAAATTATCACCCAGAAGTTTGCTAAGATTAAAAGTAACCATTTTTAAAAAATTCTAAATCACGATGAGAGCCAAACTTAGGTTATAGCTTAAAGACTAGAAAAGAATGTTCCGCCCGCATCCAGTTTCTTCTTGACAAAAACTAACTAACCGGTTTTTAATAAATCCACCTCTTTTGAATTGATTTTATAGCATGTTACTACAGAGGTAGCCAGAATATTATTTCGCTTATAAAAAGTCAATTTGTTTGAGAGAATTAAAAAAAAATAAAAAACTGGCTACCTCTGTAGTAACATGGTCTAATCGATCAATCTTTACAGACACCCAAAAACAATGATCCAAAAATTTTTTTTTTCTTTTCTTGGTTTTTAATTTACGAAATGTATCATTTATTAGAAAGTGTGCAAAAAAAATAAAGAAATTTGAAAATTATCTTATGTAATTTAAAGATTTAGTGAAAACATGGGTTTTTTTACCCCTGAAAATCCCGCACCTAAAAAGGCAAATTTAAAAAAATTAAAAAAAAACTTTTTTTATTAACTAATACTAACCTGTTTCAGTTTAAAAATATTTAAAATATTAAAATTGAAAATTTTTCTCTGAAAAGTAAGTAAAATCCTATTTCCGCTTCGCGACGCATAGTGCGATGTAGCAGCATTATTTTAATTATAATGCATTATTTTAGGCGGATGTAGTTACACATCGAGAAAAACTCTCTGATGTAGTTACATCTTTCTAAAGATGTTATTAAACATCAATGAAATTTCGGATGTTCTTGCACAGATGTTAATTCAGTAAAGAAAAAAAGCGGATGATCTTACACAAAAATCTGCGGATGTTATTTCACTACTCCACGGATGTTGTTAGACAGATGTAGTAATCTTTTCCCATCTAGACTTCTAGTAATATAATTGTTATAAAAATAAAGTAAAAATGTACAAAGAGAGAGTTTGTTTTGAATTGCAGCCTAGTTAAATACTAAGGTTTTCCACCGCGCACGAAAAATACGTAGGCTGATTGAAATAAGTTTTTATATTATTTTAGTTGCACAATGTTGAACTTGTTTAAATATAGCAACATTTCCTTTGAGATCTGGTGTACAGGTCTGCACTGCAAATTATATAGTTGTGGTCTGATGTAGGCCATATATGGCGTTTTCCAGAAGACAACGCTATATATGGCCTATTATGTAAAATAACTTGACTGTATTTATAGGTTACCATATTTATTAATTTGCTAAATAAAGTCTTCTATACCAGCTTCAGTTTTAATTTACTACTATTAATTCACTACATAGAGGATTCAATATTAATGATGCTATCGGGGCAACATTAAAAATCATAGCTTTTACATACGAGTACAATTATCGAAGTAATCTAGACAGCTTTAATTTACTACTATTAATTCACTACATAGAGGATTCAATATTAATGATGCTATCGGGGCAACATTAAAAATCATAGCTTTTACATAAGAGTACATTTATCAAAGTAATCTAGACAGCTTTCTTATGTCCGTATACATGTGAATAGAGGAATTGTTGTATAAAATGTTTCCCATTATTTTTATGACTGTGTGGATCACTCAATTTAATTGGTAATACCATGGCTAATATAATAATGCATTAGTTCGTCAGAACCCAGAGGTCCAAGGTTCGACGCCAGCTCTAGTCCAACAAGCGACAATGGTACGAAAGGAGGCGTGAACTTCCTGTTAAATGCTCACCCGCGGTGCTCTATGATAAGACCGTAAGGACTTCTGGAAGCACTTAAATACATACAAAAAAAAAAAAATATGGGTGTAGTTAATGTAAATTTATATTATCAGGATAGCCAGAATGTTTTCATGATCATTTTTCATAAATTTTCTCTGACTCTTAGTAAGATAATCTGATTTTTCTATGAAATGAATCAAAATTCCTTGACTTTTGCAAAATTTGTTTAATTCTCTGAATTTTGTACCATGTCCAGCAATCTGCTTTTCTAAAAAGTAATTTATAGAGAAGCATTTTTTACAGATTAGATATTTAAATATACTTAAAATAGGGTAATAGTTTTATTTTTTTTTTTTAATTACTCTAATTTTTTATTATGGTGTAAAATTAAAAATTATACCACTATAAAACTAGTAGCGTAGCGAAGGGCCCGCAGCCGCGGGGAGGCCCAGAGTTATTAGGGGCCCAAGGCAACAAAGAAAAAATTAAAAAAAAAGTGTCAGTACAATAAATCATTTAACATACATACAAAACATATATTTTACACAGGAAGGTAAAGGCAAGGTGGGGGGGGGGGGGGGAAAGGGAATAGAAAAGAAGTAATTTAGGGGCCCGGATTAAATTTTTGCGGGGGG